AAGTGATAGCTATAGAAGATAGGCAAAGATGATCTCACATACATACAACTGGAGTCCTTAAATCAGAAAACAAAGCGATGGAGTAACAGAAATGTTATTTAAAATTATTATTTTTATTATAAATTAAAAAACTTGAATCTACATATGTGGGGCCAAAAGTGACTTAGAATGATCAAGTCAGAAATATGTGCTAATAAAACTCTTAGACTTTAATGAATAAAAAATAATCTTAGGGCTTCCAGACAAAAAGACCATATAATTTACAAGAGAACGAAATAAAGTTTAAATCAGAGTTCTCGATGGCAAGATACAAAGTAAAACAACTTTGAAACAAAAATTTTTAAGAGCAAGAACATGAAGTGTGAATCAAAGCTTTTATATTTAGACAAGCTAGTGTTAAACCACCAAGTCTATAATGAAAAGGGTTTTGAAGGTAAAGTGTGAAGACTGAAGGAGTGGTATATTCACAAATAGAACTAGAAGGTAAGCTTTATCCAACCAAAATAAGATTAAAGAAACTAATGAGCTGATAGTATAAATTGATTATATTTCAATGTAGACCTAGCATTAAAACAAACAGTGGAGAAAGAGTGTATGAGCATTATACAATCTGAAAAAGTAGAAATAAGCCAAGCTCCCAATCTGGAAAAGTAGAAATAAGCTAAGTAGAAAGGTGAAGAGAAGGTGGAAAGAATAAATTTATTGCTTTATAGGTAGTATGTGCAGTCCAAGTATATCAATTAGAGTTGACAAACCAAATAGTAGAAGCCTCAGAAAGGCAAAAGTGGACTGAGGACATTACAAATGACATTAGAAAGAGGTAATCACTGGAAGAAGAGCAAAATCTTCCTAAATACCAAGAGAGAGAAACAGTAAATATTACTGATATACACAGGAAATGCAACATAAAATTGACTTGAGCCAAGATACACTGACAGTTGAAAAAGCAAGGTATAAGAAGTGTATATGGTATGGTAGCATTGTGAAGAAATATAGGTGAAAAAGAATATGTAGTTTTTCCAAAAAAGAAATTCAAGAAGAATGTCCCAGAACCCAATACAAATGCTTATATATTGGAGTTGGGTGCAAATGGGACAAGATTGATAGGGTGAGAGTAGAACATTTTTGAGCTTACCTATATATGTATTTGAATCATGTAAAAGTTTGTAAATATAAAAAATAAAATTTTAAAAATGAAGAAAAACTCTAAAATTCAATACAAGTAGAAATAAATGAGTCTTTTTGTCAAAGTGATAATACAACTATACATATGAGAATAATGGGTTCAAGTAAGTTGGAACACAGTACTGTGACTGTACCCTTTAAATTAAATACATTCTAAAGACAAAAAGAGTTACAAGGAAATGTTAATCTTCACACGGTAGATTTATTTTTGGTGATGATGCTGTAATAATCTAAAAGTATTTGTATATTCAGTGATGTGTGCCACATAACAATCTTTTGGTCAGACATTGTGCATATGGGTCAGTCATCCCCTAAGATTATAATGGAGCTGAAAAATTTCTATTGCTGGATGATGTCATAGCTACTATAATGTCACCGTGCAATGCATTACTCATGTTTGTGGTGATGCTTGTGTAAACAAGTCTGTGCTCTCTGTCATATAAAAGTATAGCATGTAGGATTATGTACAATATATAATACTTGGTAATAATAATAAACAATTATGCTATTAGTTTAGGTATTCCTCATACTATAATTTTTATCATTATTTTAGAGTATACGTCTTCTACTTATAAGAAAAAAGTTAACAGTAAAACAGCTTCAAGCAAGTCCAACAGGAGGCATTCCAGAAGAAAGCATTATTATCATAGATGACAGCTCCATGAATGTTATTGCCTCTGAAAACCTTCTAGCCAAACAAAATGTAGAGGTGGAAGACAGTGACATTGATGATCCTGATACTGTGAAGGCTTAGGCTATTGTGAGTGTTTTTGTCTTAGTTTTTAACCAAAAAAAAAAATTAAAAAAAGTTAATTAAAATGTTATAGAATAATAATATAAAAAGAAAATATTTTTGCATAATGTGTGTATTTTAAGCTAAGTGTTATTACAAATGGATCAAAAAGTTGAAAAACTTAAAAGTTTACAAAGTAAAAATGTTACAGTAAGCTAAAGTTAATTTATTACTCAAGAAAGAAAATATTTTAAAATACATTTAATGTAGCTGAAGTGTGCAGGGTTTGTAAAGTCTACAGTAGTATATAATAATGTTCTGGCCTTCTCATTTACTTACTACTGACTCACTGACTCAACCAGAGAAAATTCTAGTCCTATAAGCTCCATCCATAGTAAGTGCCCTATACAGAAATACCATTTAAAAATCTTTTAGACTGTATTTTTACTGTACATTTCTGTGTTAGATTTATTTAGTCTGTTACAGTTGGGGTGCAGTAACATGCTGCACAGGTTTGTAGTGTGGGAGCAATAGGCTATGTCAGATAGCATAGGTGTGTGGCTATACCCTCTAGGTTTGTATAAGTACACTCTATGACGTTCACACAGTGATGAAATCACTTAATAACTAATTTCTCCTTAAGTGATATATGACTGTATTGTAAGATAATACTCATGATTAAGTCTATTGCTATTGTTGTAGGAAATCAGAGTTCTACAGACAAATATAAAATGAGGAAAGGTGAAGAATCCTGCAGTGTTAAATTGAAGGGGAATGTGAGGTGAATGAATTTAAAAAAATTAATTGTAGAGGCTTAGTATGTTGGATTTTGGTGGGTAGAAACTAGTTGATTATATTTCTTAATTAAAATGTAGGAGAAACGGGATAATGTATGGAGCAGGTTTCTGAGGGTCTGAGAAGGATGGGAAACTGCATTTAAGTGAATGCATTAGCCTTAAATGGAAGAATAAATAACTCTTTGTATTAGGCTGTTCTTGCATTGCTATAAAGACATACCTGAGACTTGGTAATTTATAAGAAAAAACGTTTAATTGGCTCCTGGTTCTGCAGGCTGTGCAGGAAGCATAACACTAACACAAGCCTCCTGGCCAAAGTATGTCACTTCTCTGTTAAGGTGGGAGGAAAGATGGAAAAAACAGAGACCACACAAATAAATGTATGGGTTTGTGCAGGAAGCTCAAAGACTTTTTGAATGATGGTTTCTGTTTTCTGCAGGAAGTAGAGGAAGTAATGTGCTAAGAATGACAGGAATGATACAATCTTCCTGTAGGATACAATCCTGTGGTAGGATACAATCTTTTAGGAGAGCATAGAAGGTTTGAAATCCATTATGGAAGATGGGAGAGAGACTTGGCTGGAGTATCATAAAAGGATTGCCAGGCAATACCACGGCTCTTCTTCAGATTGAAGGACATTAATTTGTATTGATACCAGTTGGTGTTTTGTTTTCTTTGCTTTTTTTTTTTTCTAAAAAAATAAAAACAAGATACACATGTAGAATGCACAGGTTTGTTACATAGGTATACATGTGCCATGGTGGTGTGCTGCACTTCTTGACTCATCCTCTAAGTTCCTACCCTTACCCCCCAACCCCCAACAGGCCCTGGTGTGTGTTGTTCCCCTCCCTGTGTCCATGTGTTCTCAATGGTCAGCTTCCACTTATGAGTGAGAACATGCGGTGTTTAGTTTTCTGATCCTGGGTTAGTTTGCTGAGAATGATGGCTTCCCGCTTCATTCATGTCCCTGCAAAGAACATGATCTCATTCCTTTTTATGGCTGTACAGTATTCCATGGTGAATATATACCACATTTTCCTTATCCAGTCTATCATTGATGGACATTTGGGTTGGTTCCATGTCTTTGCTATTGTAAATAGTGCTGCAGTAAATATATGTGTACATGTGTCTTTATAGTAGAATGATTTATATTCCTTTGGGTATATACCTGGTAATGGGATTGCTAAATCAAATGATATTTCTGGTTCTAGATCCTTGAGGAATTGCCATACTGTCTTTCACAATGGTTGAACCAATTTATATTCCTACTAGGAGTGTAAAAATGTTCCTGTTTCTCCACAGCCTCACCCACATGTATTTTTCCTGATTTTTTAAATAATCACCATTCTGACTGGTGTGAGATGGCATCTCATTATGGTTTTGATTTGGATTTCCCTGATGATCAGTGATGTTGAGCTTTTTTTTACATACATTTGTTGGCCACATAAATGTTTTCTTTTTTGAAGTGTCTGTTCATATCCTTTGCCCACTTTTTGATGGGGTTGTTTTTTTCTTGTAATTATGTTTAAGTTCTTTGTAAATTCTGGAAATTTTACTTTTGGCAGATAGGTAGATTGCAAAAATTTTCTCCCATTCTGTAAGTTGCCTGCTCACTCTGATGATAGTTTCTTTTGCTCTGCAGAAGCTGTTTAGTTTAATTTTATCACATTTGTCAGTTTTGGCTTTTGTTGCAATTGCTTTTGACGTTCTTGTCTTGAAGTCTTTGCCCATGCCTATGCCCTGGATGAAATTGCCTAGATTTTCTTCTAGTGTTTTTATGGTTTTGGATTTTACATTTAAGTCTTTAATCTATCTTGAGTTAATTTTTGCATAAGGTGTAAGGAAGGGGTCCAGTTTCAGTTTTCTCAATATGGCCAGCCAAGTTTTCTTAGCACCATTTACTGAATAGTCTATCCTTTCCCTATTGATAGTTTTTATCAGGTTTGTTGAAGATCAGATGGTTGTAGATGTATGGTGGTATTTCTGAGGTCTCTGTTCTACCTCGTTGGTCTATATGTCTGTTTTGGTACCAGCACCACGCTGTTTGGTTACCGTAGCCTTGTAGAATAATTTGAAGTAAGGTAGCATGATGCCTCTAGCTTTGTTCCTTTTGTTTAGGACTGTCTTGGCTATAAGGGATCTTCTTTGATTCCATATGAAATTTAAAATAGACTTTTCTAATTCTGTGAAGAATGTTAATCGTAGTTTGATGGGAATAGCATTTAATCTATAAATTACTTTGGGCAATGTGGCCATTTTCACGATATTGATTTTTTCTTTCCATTAGGATGGAATGCTTTACCATTTGTTTATGTCCTCTCTCATTTCTCTGAGCAGTGGTTTATAGTTCTCCTTGAAGAGGTCCTTCACATCCCTTGTTAGCTGTATTCCTAGGTATTTTATTCTCTCGGTAGCAGTTGTGAATGAGCGTTCATGATTTGGTGGTCTGCTTACCCATTGTTGGTGTAAAGGAATGCTTGTGATTTTTGCACATTGATTTTGTATCCTGAGACTTTGTTGAGGTTGCTTATCATTTCAAGAAGGTTTTGGACTGAGATGGTGAAGTTTTCAAAATATAATATCTGCAAATAGACAACTTGACTTCCTCTCTTCCTATTTGAATACACATTATTTCTTTTTCTCACCTGATTGCCCTGGCCAGAACTTTCAATACTATGTTGAATAGGAGTGGTGAGAGAGGGCAGTCTTGTCTTGTACTGATTTTCAAAGGAAATGCTTCCAGCTTTTGCCCATTCAGTGTGATATTGGCTATGGGTTTGTCATAAATAGCTCTTATTATTTTGGGATACTTTCCATCAATGTCTAGTTTATTGAATTTTTAACATGAAGGAATGTTGATTTTTATCAAATGCCTTTCTGCTTCTATTGAGATAATCATATGGTTTTTGCTACTGGTTCTGTTTATGTGATGAATTATATTTATTGATTTGCATATGTTGAACCAGCCTTGCATCCCAGGGATGAAGCCAACTTGATTGTGGTGAATAAGTGTTTTTGATGTTCTTCTGCATTTGGGTTGCCAGTATTTTATTGAGGATTTTCTCATCAATGTTTATTAGAGATATTGGCCTGAAGTTTTCTTTTGTTGTTGTGTCTTCCCACTTTTGGTATCAGGATGATGCTGGCTTCATAAAATGAATTAGGGAAGAGTCTCTTCTTTTCAATTATTTGGAATAGTTTCAGAAGGAAGAGTACCAGCTCCTCTTTGTATTTCTGATAGAGTTTAGCTGTGAATCCATCTGGTCCTGGGCTTTTTTTGTTGGTAGGCTATTAATCATTGCCTCAGTTTTGCATTTGTTATTGATCTATTCAGGGATTCAACTTCTTCCTGGTTTAGTCTTGGTAGGGTGTATGTATCCATTTCTTCTAGATTTTTCTCGTTTATTTGCATAGATGTGTTTATAGTATTCTCTGATGGTAGTTTGTATTTCTGTGGGCTCAATGGTGATACCCCCTTTATCATTTTTAATGTCTATTTAATCCTTCTCTCTCTTCTTCATCAGTATAGCTAGAAGTCTATCTATTTTCTTATTTTTTTCAAAAAGCCAGCTCCTGGATTCCTTGATTTTTTTGGATGGGTTTTCATGTCTCTATCTCCTTCTATTCTTCTCTGATTTTAGTTGTTCCTTATCTTCTGCTAGCTTTTGGATTAGTTTGTTCTTGCCTCTGTAGCTCTTTTAATTACGATGTTAGGGTGTCAATTTGAGATCTTTCTAGCTTTCTGATGTGGAAATTTAGTGCCATAAATTTCCCTCTTAACACTGCTTTAGCCGTGTCCCAGAGATTCTGGTATGTTTTCTCTTTGTTCTCATTGGCTTCTAATAACTTCTTGATTTCTGCTTTAGTTTTATTATTTACCCAGGAGTCATTCAGGAGTAAGTTGTTCAATTTCCATGAAACTGTGAGGTTTTGAGTTTCATAATCTTGAGTTCTAATTTGATTGCACTGTAGTCTGAGAGAGTGTTTGTTATGATTTCAGTTCTTTTGCATTTGCTGAAGAGTGTTTTACCTTGAATTATGTGGTCAATTTTTGAATAAGTGCCATGTGGCACTCAGAAGAATGTATATTCTGCTGATTTGGGGGTAGAGAGTCCTGTAGGTGTCTACTAGGTCTACTTGATCCAGAGCTGAGTTAAAGTCCTGAATATCCTTGTTAATTTTGTCTCGTTGATATATCTAAAACTGACAGTAGGGTGTTAAAGTCTCCCATTATTATTGTATGATAGCCTAAGTCTCTTTGTTGTCCCTAAGAACTCATTTTATGAATCTGGGTGCTCCTGTATTGGGTGCATATACATTTAGAATAGTTAGCTCTTTTTATTGAATTGTTCCCTTTACCATTATGTAATGCTCTTCTCTGTCTTTTTTGGTTTAAAGTCTGTTTGATCAGAGACTAGGATTGCAACCCCTGCTTTTTATTTCTTTCCATTTGCTTGGTAAGTTTTCCTCTATCCCTTTATTTTGAGCCTGTGTTTGTCTTTGCACGTAAGATGGGTCTCCTGAATACAGCACACTTATGGGTCTTGATTCCTTATCCAATTTATCAGTCTGTGTCTGTTAATTTGGCATTTAGCCCATTTACATTTAAGGTTAGTATTGTTGTGTGTCAATTTGATCCTGTTATCATGCAGCTATTTGGTATTTTGCACACCAGTTGATGCAGTTTCTTCATAGTGTCATTGGTCTTTATATGTTGGTGTTTTTGCAGTGGCTGCTATCAGTTTTTCCTTTCACATTTAGTGCTTCTTTTAGGAGCTCTTGCAGGGCAGGCCTGGTGGTAATGAAATCCCTCAGCATTTGCTTGTCTGGAAAGGATTTTATTTTTTCTTTGCTTATGAAGCTTTGTTTGGCTGGATATGAAATTCTGGGTTGAAATTTCTTTTCTTTAAGGATGTTGAAAATTGGCCCCCAATCTCTTCTGGCTGGTAGAGTTTCTGCTGAGAGGTCCTCTATTAGTCGGATGGGCTTCTCTTTGTAGTTGATCTGTAGAAAGTTCTCCTGGATAATATCCTGAAGTGTGTTTTCTAGCTTGTTTCCATTCTCCTCATCTCCTTCTCATATTCCAATCAATTGTAGGTTTGGTCTTTTTGTGAGGTTCCATATTTCTTGGAGGTTCTTTCCTTTTCTTTTTTTCTCTATTTTTGTCAGCATGTCTTATTTCAGTAAATTGGTCTTCAAACTCCGATATCCTTTCTTCTGCTTAATTTGACTGTTGATGCATTTGTATGCTTCACAAAGTTCTTGTGCTATGTTTTTCAGCTTCATCAAGTCACTTAGTTTCCTCTCTAAACTGGCTCTTCTAGTTAGCAATTCCTCTAACCTTTTATCAATGTTCTTAGCTTCTTTGCATTGGGTTAGAACATGCTCCTTTAGCTCATTGTAGTTTTTTATTACCCATCTTCTGAAACCCACTTCTGTCAGTTCATTCATCTGCTCCTTCATCCAGTTCTGTGCCCTTGGTGGAGAGATGTTGCAATCATTTAGAGGAGAAGAGACACTCTGGGCTTTGGGGTCTTCAACATTTTTTCCTTGATAATTTCTTACCTTCTTGAGTTTGCCTAGTTTCAGTCTTTGAGGCTGCTGACCCTTGGATGAGGTTTTTGTGGAGACCTTTTTATTGTTGTTCATGCTGTTGTTATCGGTGTCTGCTTGTTTTGCTTTCCATAGTCAGGTCCCCCTTCTGTAGGGCTGCTTCAGTTTAATAGGGGTTCACTTCAGGCCCTATTGATCTGATTCACTCCTGTGCCTGGAGATGTCACTCAAGGAGGCTGGAAAGCAGCAAAGATGGGTGCCTTCTCCTCCTTCTTGGACCTCTTACCTCAAGAGGCACCAACCTGATGTCAGTAGGATCGTTCCTGTATAGGGCGTCTGACAGCCTGCATTGGAGGATCTCACCCAGTTGGGTGGCATGGGGAGTAGGACCCATTAAATGAAGGATTTTGTCCCTTGGTGGAAAGGATGTGTTTCACTGGGGGGAAACTCAGTCATCCAGACTGCCTGGATTTGTAAGAACTACCAGGAGGAGAAGCTAAGTCTGCTGGTCTACAGCCACCCCTCCACCTAGGGGCTCAGGCCCAGTGAGATTTGAATTCTGTCCCTGAGCCTCTGGCTGTACTTAGTGGGGATCCTGCAGGGAAGCCCTACCTGCTAAGGAAAGATGGGTCAGGTATAGGCCTGAAGAGGCACTCTGTCCACAGCCTGCCACAGCCAGTGTGTTGGGCTGTGGGAACAAGTCTTGGGACCAAACAATCCAGCCTTCCTGGCTCCAACAGGAGAAGAGCACAGCATGGAGCTATAGAAATGGGTGCCACTTTCCCCCTGCCCAGGGAGCTTAGCATGTAAGACAGTTGTGAGTCCCAGGGCTGGCTTCTGCCCCTCCCCCAAGGAGCTGAAACAGCTTAGACAGCAGACGTCCACAGCCAGTGCTGGTTGGCCCAACCCCCTCAGGAGTTCAGTAGGCTTAAGCAGATTCCAGCTGAGAGGCTGTAAAAATCTCAGGGTTAGGACGCAAAGGCCAGCGGGGTGCATTCACGATTGGGATCTTCTGATCCATGGGTTGCACAGTTTCGTGGAAAAAGCGCAGTTCCCCTGGCTGGGTAGCGCACTTGCTTGCTGCCTCCCTTGGCTGGGGGGGAGGAAATTCCCCTTCCCGATGTGGCTCTCAGGTGGGCTGCCACACTACAATGCGCTTCCTTCTCTCTGTGGGTCACACCAGGCTTCTAGTCAATTTTGATAAAAGAAGCTGGATACTTTGATTGCTGGTGAAGAATTCACATGTTTATTATAATAATTATTATTTTTGATGAGAGCCTCCGAATGCCACTGTTTATAGTTGTCCATCTTGGTTCTGCCCCTCAAATTGATGTGTTTTCATGATATTCTTTGGCCAGGTTTTGCAGACTTAGAATATAGACAGGGTAGATGTGTGGACATGTCTAGGATTGGGGTTTTGCTGGTCTATAGCAATTTGAAGGGCAATGGGCTAGTGCTATGAGAATATTGGCAAAAAAAATTAATGAATTATGGATTCCTAGATGAATAGGAAATGAAATGAATATAGGAAAGTTCAGAGAGGGAGAAAGTGGATTTATCAGGTGATTAGAGACTTAATGAATATGAAGAAAATGTACTGAGGAATCACTAAGTAAGGGATATGGTAGGAAATGGCAGGAAGTTATAGTCAGAGAATAAGATGGCTGAGCTTAGGTTTTCAGAGGTGAAGGAGTGATACCTTGGTGGTTGATATAAAATGGAGAAGTAACTGAAGATGAGAAGGTCAAGAATTATGAAACTTGGGTATCACATGGACAGGATATCATCCTGAATGATGGTAGGAAGTTGCATGGAGAGAAAAACTACGGTTATGTGCAGAAGTGTTTAGTGAATATGGAGAAATTGTCTATGGAATCAGCAGATACTCTGGGTACAAGGGAAGGTAGAATATGGTATACCTGGATAACCTGAACCTCCAAGGATGGAGTGATTTTGCATGAATATTGGTGGTAATGAGGATTGGTTTGAAGCACTACAAGGTGAAAACGATCTGGACTCTGCTTCTTTATTCTGAGATAGCAAAGTAATTTGAGAGCCACATTTTTCACTTGGTGAGACTGCTGGAGAAGCAACATCCTCAGACAGAGAAAAGCTTTAATTAAGGCAAGAAGGTGGAGTGAGTTAAGTGGCAAGGCTAGGGATTAAGGGCTCCAGGAAATATAATAAAAGTGCTAGGAATGGGAAGACGGTTAGAAGTTGGGGTCAGGAGAAGGAAGTCACAAACACTGTCATAATGCACACTTCTAATTTTGTTGCTTAGAAGGGGAATCATGACAGGCTAGTTCATGTTCTCCAACCATGCATAGCTAGTTAAAGAAGCAAAGGCAAACTAAGCACTCTAAGATTTAATAATAGCAGTGTCAGTCATACCATACTGACATACATCTTTTTAATGGTAAGTGGAATGCAAAATAAAATTTTATATTCTAAATAATAACATTTAAAGGAAGTAAATAGTATAAAACCCAATTTGAACATTAAAACGGAATTCAATATAAAACCTAAGCCAATAATAGTTTCTAAAGTATCATCTATAGGCATATATGCATTTATTTCAAAATTATCATGGCCAATGACATTAAATGAACAGTGGCTTGAGGTAAGTGATATCCAGAAAATGAGTCATAAAGTTGGGACTCAATCTTACATAGTTACACAGTGACTCAGACCTCCTAGTAATTTATAAAGCTATAACTAGGAAACACAGAAATAAGTGCCTCTTAGGAAATGTAGCTATAAAGTCTTAAAAAATTGAAAAAGTAATGAAGCTACTGGGAGAAATTACTGAGGCAAAATAAACATTTAAACGATTTGTTATATTACAGAGGTCATATTGGAAAAAAGGAGACCATATTCTATGAGATATATATATATATATATATATATATATATATATATATATATATATCTTCTGTAATATATGCAGACATACATACATACATATATATGTGTATGTAAGTATATACATATATATACATATATGCACATATATGCAAATAAAATTTTGGCAGAAATACATGACAGTGGCAGCCAAAAATCTTCTCAGAGATTAGTGAAGAGACAGTGCTTTTCCTAAGACAGAAGGATTTATTTAAAAGCCCTTTATAATCATTTAACTTTAGTAATGCCGCTACATTATAGAAATAACAAGTGATTGGCATGTTAAAATCTAAAGCTTTTTAAAAATGCAGTAGGACTACATGGAAACATTCTACTCTTTAAAAGCCATTTTCATGGATGGATAAATATCACTATACCCTGTGAACCTTATAAAATGTTTAAAATTCATGTGCACATATAAAGATACAAAAAGTCCTTTAATTCAGAACATTTTTTTGCAATGTAGCATAAATGATTCTCTTAATCACATTAGTGTATGCCCTTTATTTTTCATTTCATTCATTCAACAAATGGTTTTGGGGTACCTACTCTGCACCAAACACTGCTCTGTGAAATAGGTGGAAACATAATCTTGAATGCTGTTTGTACCAAAGAAGGTACAAGGTTTTGCTGAAAGACCTCTCCTCTGAGTTCCAGACCCACACCTACTTTTATTCATAGCCTTGGTCACTTGGAGGATCCCCAGGCTCCTGAAACTCACACTGTCTTATAATTGAAATCAGTGTTCATTTTACTAGGGAAGTGTGATTGTTTCCTTGTGTTCCTCTCTCACCTGTTAAAAGCTTTCCAAAATGTAAACCTGACCACAATGCACCCCTGTTGTAACGCTCCATGGCTCTCATGCTTAAAGCCATATTTCAAAAAATATATTTGAAATGCAGCAACATAAGAACTGAGTAAGCTTGGAGGAAAGAGATCATAGATTAAAATGACAGCAACCATGGCATTTTTTCAGAATTTCATGATTAACCTTTATAATTTATAAAGTTTTGCATATTAATCTACAGTGTATCTTTATTTCTTTTTCCTGTAAGATGTTTGAAAATTCTTACTGTTTAACATCTTCTCACCTATCTGAGTAAAATTTTCCCTCATGGGTCTTTCAGTCCCATTGGTTTACTGGTCAAATGGCTACATATATTCTCTGGCTTCATATATTTCTGACTCATATGCTATAGTTGGAGAAGTAGAGAAGTAGAGACCTAAAGGATATAGCTCAGATCTTGCTGCATAACATTCATGAGGAGAAAGTGTAGCCAAGTAGTTAGGAACCTGGGCTCTGGAATTTAATTTTTTGTTTGAATCCTGACTCTGTTCTTTACTAATTGTGTGATCTTGGGCAAGTTATTTAACTTCTTCGGTCTTATTTGTGTCTTGTAATAGCATTGACTTTAGGGTTATTATTAAGACTATGAAATGATATAAATAAAGGGTTCAGCCTAGTGCCTGGCCCGTAATAAATGTTCAGGAGTGTTTATTCAACTCCTGTTAGAGTCCCAAGAAATAACTTGCAATTTCTTGCACATGCCATGATATTTCATGTAGATCTATCTTTGGTCTAGAATATTCTACTCCCATAATATTGTATATTGTATCACCAGAGAAGGAATAGAAGCAAAAACATGTTCCCATAACTTCCCTTGTTGAGATTCGCTTGGGGTGGCTGGCAAAATATTAAGGAAAGTTAGAAGACCAAAGGTTTAAATGGAGTGGGCTGAAGGCAGCCAGTTCATTAATTTAGAACTTTAAGTCATAGGGTAATAGATAGAGACAATAAAAACTTCCCCAGTTAAGTCTGTTTACTCCACATTCCTTTGTCTCTACTCTAATTTGTTTGCTCATGTAAACTTTGTGTTAGATGGTCCTCTCAGGGGGAGGTCAAAGGGGAATTACCCATTAATGGTGTTTACTCTGGGCCCCTGGAACCAAAAGCTTTTCTCATTCATAAAATCATTCTTTTAACCATGTTAATTATCCACAAGCATGTTGACTTAGAACCTCTGTCATAAAATCTATACTGAATAAATGTAAGGATGTACAAGGAGTCGTGGTCTTAGCTGCATTTGCCCTTTGAAAGCAGCTGATGACCATCCCTAGCCCCCTAAGATTCACTGTATTCTGGTGTGTGTGAGTGCATTTTATTCTTCTGTCATTAAGTCAGGATCCTCAGGACAGATCTGCACAGGTGATGATCAGCATCTCAGGGTGACCCTGACATGACACTCGTCACAGCTGGTGCCTGAACAGGGACCCAGATGTGACACTCATCACATTCCCTAAAGGAAGAAAAGAAAAACCCCTATAACCCTGATATGACAGATACAGTGTATAAAAAATTCACTATGTGGATAGTGAAAAGCAAGTCATCTTTTTTTTTTAATGTAATAGTATAAAACTCACCTAGTCTTTATCAGAATAGGAAATAAAACTGTGAGCATTCTGTCTTGGAAGAGGTTGACTGGATGTCACCAGGATTGCAGTATTTAATTGTAGAGTTAAGCATGATAGATATCACCTTATAGCCCCATCCCTATGTTGTGTTCTTCCTTGCCTCATCCAATCTTATTCTGCAGTTGAATTTCCACTCACCTCTTTCTTTCTCATCCCTTTACCATCTTTTCCCTATCCCTTTCCATCTTTAAATTGAAGGTTGAATATATACCTTCCCTTAAAACAAACACACAGCTCAACAATTCACGTGCCATATCCTTCCTGGAGCCTTCCCTGACATTAAAAGATCCTGATAAACTGAAATAGTAAATTAGGACACTTCAGCTAGCAAAAAGTTCTGCTTAGCTACATAATATTGGCATTTACATATTGTGAACCTCAGAGTAACCTTTATATACTCCACTAACAGAGCCTACATTTCCAACATACACCCTAAATCTCAGAGCCCCACATGGCTCAATCTCTATATAGAATCACACACAAAGAATCATGGTCTGACAGGCCAAAGGTGACTTTATGGTATATTTTAACTTTCCTTTTATCTCTCAACAAAACAACAGAGGGATTCACCTTCTGTCTCAGAACAATTCTTATAAGAATCATTTTCTCCACTCTTCTACTTTCTTTCCCTCCACCTTATAAACTCTTATGTTCCTGAGTTGCTTATATACTAGCTTCTAAAACACTTTCTTCAGCTTTAGTGCCAAGTGACTCTTTTTTGGTACCTTACTACTTCATTCCTCTTTAGGTAGCCTGATTTAGCCTCTTCATCCTTTCATCTAATTACCTTTTCCTATCTCTTCTTTCTTCCTATTTTTTTCTAATTTTGCTTCTCAAAATCTTAAGCAATCAAGTCAGCAAATACTCTCCTATAGAGGACTAGAGAGATTGTGAGTTGAATGCAGATTAAAGATCTGGTCTCCACCTGCATATTTATTTGTTTGTTCCTTCACTGGATAGAAAGTTTCTTGAGAGGATGTCATATTCAACTTTTTGTTGGCAGCACCGAACCTATAGCCTGGCACAGAATGGCACTCAAATACTGTTGTGTAAATGAAGGATATTATTAATCTCTGTAAAGGGCTTCTTAAATAGAAATTCATGAAAAGTGAACTTGGTTTAATCTGTAACATAACCAATATAAGTAAACTTTAAGGGGCATGTTGGGCCTGTAAGTCTCCTTATCCATAGATTATTTGTTGTGACATCAATTGGCCAGAGTGGTCTTTCCACATTGTCAGACTGTCTATGTCTTCATCTCTGTCTAGATACTACCTTTGTCTCTGGTATGTCTGCTCATAGGTCACTGTATTAAAGAAAGCTTTTAGTTGACAATTTGCATAAATTTTGTGAAACATTCCAATTATGAGTTAAACTTTAGCTACTTTTGGATTCTGAATTTTGTTAAGTTCATAACATTGAAAAATTTGTTATGAAGTGGGACCATTCAAGGTTGACATGGTGGCCCTTTACCACAGACATAGATGTGAAATAACCTGGGCAAGGAATCTGTCCACTTTCTCCCGAGCTCTTCCTTCACCTTCAGGTCAGCCTGGGTGAGCTTTTCCCTTTCCCTTTTTCTGCCATCTTTGTAACCACAGCTCCTGTAATATTTGCAATTGGAGACTCAAGAGAAAACAAGTACGTGAGTCTGTATGGTGAGAGTACCATGGAAACACTTGATTATTTTACTAGGAAAAGGCTCTCAGCATCTTTAGGATAAAGCATTATCTAGTGTTTTAGTTTAATTTAACAAACATATAGTGCATGTAATAAGAATAGACGTTAAAGTGAACTCCTTGAGAAGAGGGACTCTTTATTTCTCTTTATATTGCCAACCAACAGCTTTATGCTTGGTTCACAGCTGCTACTCTGTAAATGTTTGTTGCATGAAAGAATAAATTAAATTTCACCTTACCCTTAAGGAACATGTGATATAATATGGAACACACTGAAATTGGTATATACAGTAATAGAGGTGGAGTTACAGTATGGGAGTAAAGAGGATGAGGAGATTAATGGTTGGTATAAAAAATGTTCCCAAACCTTCCATATTATATGCTCAAGTTCAACAGCAGCACTCATAAAATGAAAAGCCCTATAATATGTTTATATGCCAAAATTTTGATTGCAGGTTGCTATGCACAGAGGGAAACTAAAATTAGAAAGAAACTGCATGGGCTTTGATACGAAGGAAGAATATAGTTTTTAACAACATGCTTACGGGAAAAACCAAACCCAAAAGACGGAAGCCACCTCCATTCTCCTAAGGCATTGGGTGGAGGATCTTTAACCAAATGAGGTTCTCATGCAGATGATAATGGAGTAGAGAATAAAAGAACAAAGCAGGGTAGAGAGACATGACATAAGAAGGAAGAAAAGTGATCAAATCTGACAAGTCTTGTAAAGAAGAAATGACTTTACTTTCACTCCACAGCCTGAATATTAGCTTCTCAGAAGGTATTTAGCCCATATTTATTGCAGTCAAACAGATGAAACTCTGCTCTCTTAAACTCCTTTTAGTTTAAAATTCATTCCATAGATAATTAATCTCTTTCTTCATTCAGGACCACAGATGTATGAGACTTATCCTGGTAAGTTTCTGTATGGGAGTACCTTCAAACCTTAGGGTAGGTTTGACATGTAAACCATTCCGATCCATTCAGATGAATAGAAGTAGGTTTTCCTAGACCTCAATACCCAATTGTTTTTGGTGTTAGTAACACTGTTTTACACTGTTATGATATTGACATGACTGTGCTCAGTGACACAATGTTATGATTTTTACTTCTCCTCACTGTGGTCGGTTCTTTATAGTCAATAATATGTGATAACATTTATTGTCTACTTTATAATGGGCCTTTACAATTAATCATGTAATAGAAAGCGTCAACCTTAGACTGAAAAAACAACATTTTCATTTTCTTATATTACAGGGAAAAAAGTGTAATAACTAGTAATTCTTGAATGTCCCTTAAGCTGAGAATTAAGACTTCTTACCAGGCTTAGGCTGCATGTGTTGGCTGTGGAGTGCACTGGCGCCCGATCTTTTTGTTCTAGCCTTTGGATGTTGAAATCTGGATTCATACTTGACGTAAAGAGGATGCATCTCTTTTGCTTACAACCTTTAAAATATGGTAATCTAGTTTTGGTCAAAATTCTCACTTTTAAGTTCATTCTTAAATTGAATAAGCTGTCTGAAATCTGGGGGAATAAGAAATGGATATTTTGGGTAATTACATACTCTATTGAATAACCAAACAAAACATATATGAGCTGTCAGATTTCAAGTTAGTAGAAAGTAATGTAACATTTTCTCATCAGACTGTTGGGATCTTTGGGTAGTTACAGCTCATGTTTACCTCTGTGACTAGCCTTCACCCAGCAGCCATCCCTTCCTTGAACAGATCCCTCTCTCTCATGCCCCTTTCCTTGGCACATTCTCTTTCTTTTGCCCAGAAATGCTTTTTCTCTTCTTTCTGTTGAGATGTCACCCCTGCTGTTAAGCCCTTAGTTCCTTCACAGGAATCTCTCCCCATTTCAACTGCTTGGTCTTTTATACTCCCATAACATTTTTTTTGGTAACTTTTTCATAGTGGTAAAATATATATAACATAAAATTTACCATTTTATCAATTTTTAAGTGTACAGTTGAGTGGCATTAAGTACACTGACACTGTTGTGCGACACCCACCACCTCCATTTCCAGCACTCTTTTCATCTCCCCAAGCTGAAACCCCATTAAACAATACCTCATTAAATAACTCCCCATAGTTCTTCCTTTTAGCCCCAGACAACCACCACTATACTCTGTCTCTATGAATTTCACTACTCAAGGTATCTTGTATTAGTGGAATCATTCCACTAACTGTCCCTTTGTAACTGGCATATTTCACTTAGCTTGATATCTTGAAGGTTCATCCATGTTTAGCATGTATCAGAATTTCCTTCGTTTTTAAGGCTGAACAATATTTCATTGCATGAATGTATCACCTTTTGTTTATGCAGTTATTCATTGACGGATACTTCATTGCTTTCACCTTTTAGCTATTGTGAATAAGGCTGCTACAAACGTTAGTGTGCAAGTTCTGTTCAAGTTTCTGCTTTCAATTGTTGTGGGTATATAGCCAGGAATGGAACTGCTGGATCATATTCTATATTTAATTTTTGGAAGAACTACCATACTGTTTACATAGCAGCTGCACCATTTTACATTCTTACCAGCAGGGAACAAGGACTGTGATTTCTCTATGTCTTCACCGATACTTATTTTCTTTTTTCTTTCTTCCTCCTTTTCCTCCTCCCCCTCCCCGTCCTTCTCCTCCTCCTCTTCCCTCCTCCTCCTCCTC